GGAATGTGTCAGATTTGGCTTTTTCTGTCTACACTTTTTTGTGTCATACCAATACAAACAAAAGACAAAAACATGAGAATCCCTAAACATTTGTAATTGCAACAATATTCTGGGCAAAATGGTGCATTATCTGACAGAAATGCAGGGGTGCCAATATTTTTGGCCATGACTGTATACACGCACACACACACGCACACATATAAATATACATTATATTGTCAAAAGTATTGGCATGCCTGGCCTTTACACGCACATGAACATTAATGGCATCCCATTCTTAGTCCGTAGGGTTCAATATTGAGTTGGCTCACCTATAGCAGCTATAACAGCTTCAACTCTTCTGGGAAGGCTGTCCACAAGGTTTAGGAGGGTGTCTACGGGAATGTTTGACCGTTTTTCCAGAAGCACATTGGTGAGGTCAGGCACGGATGTCAGACAAGAAGGCCTGGCTCGCAGTCTTCGCTCTGCAGGCCAGTCAAGTTCCTCCACCCCAAACTTGCTCATCCATGTTTTTATGGACCTTGCTTTGTGCATTGGTGTGCAGTCATGTTGGACCAGGAAGGGGCCATCACCAAACTCTTCCCACAAAGTTGGGCGCATGAAATTGTCAAAATGTCTTGGTATGCTGACGATTTAAGAGTTCCCTTCACTGGAACTAAGGGGCCAGGCCCAACCCTTGATAAACAATCCCACACAATAATCCCCCCTCCACCAAACTTTACAGTTGGCACAATGCAGTCAGGCAAGTACTGTTCTCCTGGTAACCGCCAAACCCAGACACATCCACCAGATTGCCAGACAGAGAAGAGTGATTGGTCACTACAGAGAATATTTCTCCACTGCTTTACACCACTGCACCCGTGCTGCACATTGCACTTGGTGCTGTAGCATGGGATCTGATGCTACGTTCACCTAGGTAAGTATAACTGGGGAAAAAAAAGCCTTACTTCTCTTTTAACATCTTAATGTAATTTCAAAAGTTATTTTCAGTCTTTTAAAATCTGCAGCATTCATTTCAATAATACCAGGTGATCCTGCCATGGGATAGCAGGGACAGTGTACTTTAAATGGACACCGATGGGACTACCTGAAGTGGCAGTCCAAAAACGCCAGTTTGCGGCGTTTTACCGCATTTTTCAGCGTTAGAGCATTTTTACAGCTAAAAATCTCCTCTAGACACCCACTAGTTCTGGGTTTTTTTTCCCGGCCAAAAAACATCCCAGCCAAAAAACGTTGATTCCAGTCTATGTGTGTATGGACACATAGGATAACATGCTGGGGGGTTTACTAGCTGCAGAAAAAAACGTCAAAAGCCAAAAAACAGCCGCTTTAAAAACGTCAAGTGTGCATGAGGATTTATAATCTGAATTAGAATGGTTGTTATGCTGTGGACAGACCTTCGTTTTTCTGCAGGATTTGTACATCAGCTACAAAGAATCCAGTTTCACTTCTGCGTAGCATTGTCTTGTTTCCTGTAAGATTGCAAAATATTCTCAAAAGGTCGGTAGAGTCAGTACATATACTGGAACTGCCATAAAACCGCTAGAAGTGTAACGCAGCACCACCTAAGCTGGCCATACATACTTAAAATCTTTTCTCACTCAGCCTAGGAGCTAACAGTGAGGAAGAACGAATCTCCAGCTGCGGCTAATGTAATTGGAGAGTAGGCGCCCAAACAGCGCCTGCATCTGATTGGATGCAGCTGCTCTTCCAGCCAAAAATTGTCTACCTGGCTTCTTCAGTTTTTCAATCAAAGGATGTCAGACGGAAGGCTAAGGACAGGGCCAGCCATGGGGCAAATTTTTGGCTCCATCTGGAACAGGCTGAAATTCGGTCTGTGTATGGCCAGAACGTAATCACTTCAAGTCCGGACACTTTCACCCCCTTCCTGTCCAGGCCAATTTTCAGCTTTTAGCGCTGTCACACTTTGAATGACAATTGTGCGGTCATGCAACACTGTACCCATATGAATTTTTTTAGCATTTTTTGAGACAGATAAAAGTTTATTTTGGTGGTATTTATTCACCACTGGGATTTTTATTTTTTTTGCTATATAAATGAAAAGTCCAAAAATTTTGAAAAAAAGTGTTTTTCTTACAAATTGGGGTATGTACCCCTTGACTTCTGTTTTTATATATGTCCTTAAAGCGGAGCTCCACCCAAAAGGGGAAGTTCCACTTTAAGGACTGCTCCCCTGCTCCCCATTAAAGATTGACTCCTTTGCGGGGCGGGGAGCGGGTACGTGAATTTGACAGGTACCCGCTCCCACTTCCGGTCCGATCGCCTAGGCGATCGGAAGCGGAAGGTGTCTTCCCTCCCCGAAGTCTTTTGGGACACGTGACAGGTTCAAGAAAACTGCAGGACCATTCATGAAGCGCAGCGCTACTACCATGGGACAGAGGGACAGGTGAGTGACTTTTTTTTTTTTTTTTAAAGTTTTTTATTAAAAGTCAGCAGCTACAGTTTTTGTAGCTGCTGACTTTTATTTCTTGACAGCGTGAGTGGAACTCCGCTTTAATATGTGCCTTCTCTCATCTGTGTCTCACCTGCGTTGTGAGCTCCCACCCTTTTTTTTTGCAACTGCCATCATAGGCCTACGATTGTATTGTATGATCTTTGTTTGTTAACGTTCAATAAAAACACTGAAACAGAAAGGTTTAGGACTCGGTCATGTTGGTGGCCAGGGGGCAGTAAAAACAGGCAGATGAGTCATGGTTTTACTGTCCCTGACCGACCACCTAAAGAACGCATAGCCACATAGTACACGTTTCGCAGCCACAGCAAAAATTAATATCCCGGTTGCATTCAAATGGCTATTGCCTACTCTGCCCACTTTAGGCGATCTCTGAAAACCTATCTCTTCAGGGAAGCCTATCCTGCCCTCACCTAATAACCGAATCTTCTATTCCTCCTACCAGTCCATCCCCCACAGTTATTACCTTTTGTACCACCAGCCCCTCCCTCTTAGATTGTAAGCTCCCAGGATCAGGGCCCTCCTATCCCTCTTGTATTGAACTGTATTGTTGCTGTATTGTCTCCCATTATGTTGTAAAGCGCTGAGCAAACTGTATAAATCCTGTATAATAATAATAATAATATATAAATCCTGTATAATAAATAATATATAAAAATGCTGTATAATAATAATAATATATAAATCCTGTATTATAATAATAATAATAATAATATAAATCCTGTATTATAATAATAATAATATAAATCCTGTATAATAATAATAATATATAAATCCTGTAATAATAATATAAAAATCCTGTATAATAATAATAATAATATATAAAATCCTGTATAATAATAATAATATATAAATCCTGTATAATAATAATATATAAATCCTGTATAATAATAATAATAATATATAAATCCTGTATAATAATAATAATAATAATAATAATAAATGGCAATACCACTGTAGAACAACACAACCAATTCAGTTGATTGGGGCTTGCTCTGCAACCACGTGCATTGGGGTGTGGTGGTTTGGCCTTTTCAGGGTTAAAATAGGGGGTGAAGAGGGGACATACTGCCTTCCAGTCGCCTGTCGAACATTAAAGCGGAGTTCCACTTACTCTGTAAGAAAATAAAAGTGAGCTGCTATGAAAACTGTAGCTGCTGACTTTTAAAAAACAGCCACTTACCTGTCCCACGATCCCGCGTTGCCCCCATCGCAGCCCGTTTCACTGGCTGTCCTGTATTCCAGGCGCCAGCGTCTTCAGTGTGGGCACCCGGCTGTGAGAGCTTGCAGCTTCATGGCCGGGTGCCAACTGCGCATGTGCGAGTAGCACTGCGGTTCCTGAATGGCCCGTAGTCTTCTGGGACCTGTCACATGTCCCACAAGACTACGGGGAGGGAGGGTACGAGGACAACTTCCGCTTCTAATCGCCTAGGCGATCGAAGCGGAATTGGGAGCGGGTACCTGTCAATTTTGGGTACCCGCTCCCCAAAGGTGCCAATCCTTAATGAGGAGTGGGGGACTAATCTTTAAAGTTGAACTTCCCCTTTTGGGTGGAATTCCGCTTTAATTACTTTTCAGAGGTGTGGCAAAGCCTGCGGCCAGTCTGAACAAGGCCTTAGTATCACACCTTTGGCAGATAAATAATACATTGTCTATATTCTATGCATCCAATTAATAAGAGGGACAGCTGAGAAGGAAAGAGGGACAGAAGGATTTGGCTCCAAAAGAGGAATAATCCCTCCAAATGAGGAACACTCCTTCTAAATAAAGGACAGTTAGGAGCTATTGGTGCAGGCAGTGAGCAAACGGAATTGTAGCTCACAAAGTGTGGTCACATTCTTCTATGCGGCTTCAAACTTTTTACACTAGAATGAGGAACGTGGACAGAACTAAGAAACAGAAGCATGATAAAAGACACAATAAGAGCGTGCTCTGGTCTTGGGCGCCAATGCTGACTTGAGGATTACCATCATGTCCTATTGTAATGGTGTTGTATGCCACTATAAAGTGCATTCTTTAATTGAGTGAGGCAGCCATACATTGACGTACACAATTCTCCAAGGACGCAGAAAGAGGCCCCTGGGTGAGCAGATTATCAGGAGCATTCTCCTCCAGCTGTATAGTATGCATTATTAACACACAGAGCTGTAGGAAGCCGACAGAATAGGCCAGCAACATGTCTCGTGCAGGTTTTACTGAACAGAGCCATTTATAGCCAACACAAATGTGCCGAGCCTTGAAGACACAATGACAGCAGATGCCTTTGATGTTACTCTAGTAAAGGCTTTTAATCACTCACATGCTAAAGGTGGAGCTGTTCAACATTTAATTCAGGCAGCGTTTTTTTTTCTACTAAACCAACATTCATTTTAGAGGTACCAGCTAGAAGCGGGGGACCATTTTTTGGTCTTCAAGTGTGCACCTTTGCCCAAGGGTGTGTCTATCAATGGCAGGAACAGTGCCTGAGTTTCCAAAATGGTCAGTCCGCCCCTGGCAGTTATGTGAACAGTCTAACATTAAGGCTCAGAGGTGAGCTTCCACAGTGTACAGTAATAAAGCAGAGTTGTGTGTTAGCTAATGTCCCATCGCTCTATACACCGTGACTTTTACTTGTTTGGATTAAGAGTGATGGCCTGAGCCACACCATACCACCTCCACCAACCAACGTACCTCTGTTACCTCACTCCTAGTAACAGAATGAGATGCTTCCAAACACATGGTGGCATGGTTATGGCGGTTCTCTTGCATGTTCTGGATTAGCTGTTCTGAAGGGGTATGTTTGGATTAAGAGTGGTGGCCTGAGCCACACCACACCACCTCCACCACCCAACGTACCTCTGTTACCTCACTCCTAGTAACAGAATGAGATGCTGCCAGACACATGGTGGCATGGTGATGGCGGTTCTCATGCATGTTCTGGATTAGCTGTTCTGAAGGGGTATGTTTGGATTAAGAGTGGTGGCCTGAGCCACACCACACCACCTCCACCACCCAACGTACCTCTGTTACCTCACTCCTAGTAACAGAATGAGATGCTTCCAGACACATGGTGGCATGGTGATGGCGGTTCTCATGCATGTTCTGGATTAGCTGTTCTGAAGGGGTATGTTTGGATTAAGAGTGGTGGCCTGAGCCACACCACACCACCTCCACCACCCAACGTACCTCTGTTACCTCACTCCTAGTAACAGAATGAGATTCTGCCAGACACATGGTGGCATGGTGATGGCGGTTCTCATGCATGTTCTGGATTAGCTGTTCTGAAAGGGCATGTTTGGATTAAGAGTGGTGGCCTGAGCCACACCACACCACCTCCACCACCCAACGTACCTCAGTTACCTCACTCCTAGTAACAGAATGAGATGCTGCCAGACACACAGTGGCATGGTGATGACATCCCTCATGCATGTTCTGGATTAGCTGTTCTGTACCCGTACCATGTGGCTAGGCTGAGGGCTTCTGTAATGGTGGTCTGCTCCCAGTTGTTATAGGAAGCGGACCACTAGGGAGGGAGCCAAAGAAATGACTCCTTCTCTACCAGAAGACACCTCACCTTGCCCAGGTACTTCACCTCGACTGGTGGCTATGTGTCGTGCATATGTACTTACCCGTATTAACAACCTTGTTCTCTTCTTCTTACATGCTGACTTGACATGGTAGTGTGATGTGCTTCATACCCCTCTAGTGCTTTCCAGGCCCCGGTTCTTTTGGATACGCCAGCCCCTTTAAATAACTTCAGACCAGGCATAAAAGAACATTTGACAGTCTTTACTGATCAACTGCAGTGCAACCATGACAAAGTGCAAACAGTGCATTATTTCCTAATCCAACTAATAACGGGCCCAGACACACCTTTTCAGCCAACCATAGTGGTAGAGTCCATAGTTGGTGGCACCCCAGGATCCTCAGTATAGAACGTAGTAGTGACGGTTTCTCCTTGCCCTGGGACAAGACAAGAACAGCAACACTCCGGTACTCGAAACTCCTGGATCTCAGCCTGTACCCAGTTTATAACACGGGTGTGTCGGCTGAAGCCCCAAAAAGTACCGGGAGCAGCGAACCTAACCCTTTCCCAACCCAGCCAGGGCTAGCACCTAACTTATTAAAGCACAGTGGCTAAATGGTTAGCACTTCTGAATGGCAGTACTAGGGACGTTGGTTTGAATCCCAAACCATGGCACCACCTGCCTGGAGTTTGCATGTTCTTCCTGTGCCTGCGTGGGTTTCCTCTGGGTACTCCAGTTTCCTCCCACACTCCAAAGACATGCTGGTAGGTTAATTGGCTCCTGTCTAAATTGTCCCTAGTATGTATATGTATGAATGTGAGTTAGTGACCTTAGATTGTACACCCCTTGAGGGTTAGGGACTGATGTGAATGTACAATATATATGTAAAGACCTGCGTAAATTGACAGTGCTATATAAGTACCTGAAATAGAATAATAATAATAAATAACAGCAGAGTTCCACCCAAAAGGGGAAGCTCCGCTTGTCTGCCCCCCCCCCCCCCCCCCCCCACCCTTTGCTGCCACATTTGTCAACATTAAACACTGATTTGGATTATTTTCATCAAAGAAATGTAGCAGAATAAATTTTGGTCTAAATTTGTGTAGAAAGATTATTTGCAAAATGTTATAACAGAAACAAAGAAAAAAAGCTTTAAAAAAAAAAAAAAAAAAAAAAACAGTAGTGATTAAATACCACCAAAAGAAATATGTTTACGTGAAAAAAACAAATTTCTATGGGTACAGTGTTGCATGACCGTGCAATTGTCATTTAAAGTGCAACAGTGCTGAAAGGTGAAAATTGGTCTGGGCAGGAAGGAGGTAAAAGTGCCTGGAAGGAAAGTGGTTAAAAAAAAACAAAATGAAAACATGAAATCCAATAAAAAAATGGGTGGGACAGTAAGGCTGGCAATACACTATACAATGTTCTTACAATTGTCTGTCCAATTTCCTTTAGATTTACCTTCCACTATGTAGTGCGAGGGCCGGCCTAATTGGATACAATTGAAAGTGTTGTTTAGGTCTGACCTCATATTATATGGTTTTTGGCAAATCTAAAGAAAAATTCTCAAGAAAATTGTATAATGTATGGCCAGCCTAAGGCAGGATGAAGGTGGATAACCCCAGGAAATGACAGGGACTCTTTCTGACTTGCTGCAGATTCAGCTTTAAGGGCCATTCACACTATAGAAATGCAGTCCAGATGTGTTCTGCATGAGCGTTTTTGGCACGTTCCGGCGTGTTTTTGATGCATTTTTTATGTGTTCCACTATTTTTTATGCATTCCAGTTAATTTTATTCTTCTTTTTCTTCAATTTAAGTAGGAACATGTGCATTCCAGTGCATTTTTGGTGCTTTTCAGTGTGTTTTTGATGCATTTTACTGCGTTCCAGTACAGTTCTATGCAGAAAAAAAATGCAGCATGTTATACTTTTTTTTCTGCAACTGGAATGCACTGGAACTGCAAGCATTGATGTGAACTATGACATTGACAACCATATAACCTACTTTCTGTGCATTTTGGATGCAGAAAAAAAGCAACTGAAATACATGTAGTGTGAACTGGCCCTAAATCAGGGCTTGAAATTTCCACTTGAGTGCTCGCCAATGGTGAGTGGAAATTATGGTGGGGGCGAGTGTGTCCCCCAGGGCCGTCTTGCTGAGCAGGCTCGGAGCTCAGGCCGGATCTGTCATTGGCACTGGGAGCCGTCAGACTGCTCAATAGCTGAGCGCAGTGAAAGCAAAGGAAGGAGTGTGTGCTGTGCTCTCTGCCTCCCCCTAGAGTGCAGTACCCGGCTCTGTGAGTGAACAACGAAGTACTGCAACTTTTTATGGGTGTGTGTCTGTGTATATGTACATGTGTGTATCTGTACATGTGTTTGCGTGTATGTACATGTATGTGTGTGTGTACATGTGTATGTATGTTTGTGTGTATGTACGTACATGTGTCTGTGTATGTATGTACATGTGTCTGTGCGTGTGTATTTCTGTGTATGTACATATATCTATGTATATGCGTGTCTGTACGTGCCGGTGTGTGTATGTATATACATGTGTCTGTGCATGTGTATTTCTGTGTATGTACATATATCTGTGTGTATGCGTGTCTGTACGTGCTGGTGTGTGTATGTATGTACATGTATCTGTGCGTATGTATTTCTGTGTATGTACATGTATCTGTGTGTATGCGTGTCTGTACGTGCCTGTGTGTATACGTGTGTCTGTATGTGTGTGTACATGTGTCCCTGTGTGTGTGTGTACATGTTTCTATGTGTGTATGTGTGTGCGTATGTACATGTCTATGTGTGTGCACAGTGTCTCTGTTTGTGTGTGTTTGTTGGTGGCGAGTAACTCTAAGGCCTGGCTAGTAGCTCAGGACTTGAAATTTTAAGCCCTGCCCTAAATCATTGACTTTAGTGATCAGCTTAACATATACTTTATTATTATTATTATTATACAGGATTTATATATTATTATTATACAGGATTTATATACTATTATTATAGAGGATTTATATTATTATTATTATACGGGATTTATATATTATTATACAGGATTTATATTATTATTATACAGGATTTATATATTATCATTATTATTATTATACAGGATTTATTTATATATTATTATTATACAGGATTTATTATTATTATTATACAGGATTTATATATTATTATTATACAGGATTATTATTATTATACAGGATTTATATATTATTATTATTATTATTACACAGGATTTATATTATTATTATTATTATACAGGATTTATATATTATTATTATTATACAGGATTTATATTATTATTATTATACAGGATTTATATATTATTATTATTATTATACAGGATTTATATTATTATACAGGATTTATATATTATTATTATTATACAGGATTTATATTATTATTATAATACAGGATTTATATTATTATTATTATAATACAGGATTTATATTATTATTATTATTATAATACAGGATATATATGTTATTATTATTATACAGGATTTATTAATTATTATTATTATACAGGATTTATATATTATTATTATTATACAGGATTTATATATAGCACCAACAGTGTGCTCAGCGCTTTACAATATAACGGGAGACAATACAGCAACAATACAGTTCAATACAAGAGGGATAGGAGGGCCCTGATCCTGGGAGCTTACAATCTATGAGGGAGGGGCTAGTGGTACAAAAGGTAGTAACTGTGGGGGATGGACTGGTAGGAGAAATAGAAGATTTCATTATTAGCTGAGGGCAGGATAGGCTTCCCTGAAGAGATAGGTTTTCAGAGATCGCCTAAAAAGTAAGCAGAGTAGGTGATACTTTAAAGCCAAATTTCCCTAAACTGGCTTTGTCTGGGTGTTTGGTTCTCCATCAGTGCCATTAGAACATAAAGTACATGTAAATGTTACAGTGGGATGTATTTGTATTGTATCTGCAGTTTAAAAGGTTTTTTTTTTGCATAGAACAGTTCATGTTTAGCAATCGTTCCAGCTGCTTGTGTAACATATTGCTCCCATGAAGGCCTAGCTCCTCTCCTCTCCGTCTCACTGATTACAACAGAATTTTGCCACTTCCTTTTTTTTTTTTTTTTTTTTTTACACTTCCACAGTCACATGCCCGATCCCAGCTCTTCTTCTTTTCTGAGCTATTTCAGAAAAATCAATGGCAGCCTATTCTTCTGTCTGGTCCTACGTGCCTCTGCGATACTCACAGTCCCCGCATCACCCTGCCTTATTCCCTCCCTTTTTTTTAACCGATTCTGAACTTTGGTCACGTTTTAGTGTGAAATGAGAACAGTCGTTTTATCTGCTGGACAATTTATGTATTGCTCTGTATATGACCTTGTCTATGTGTGCCTTTCTTTTTCTTAGCTTTAACCTCCCTAGCGATCTGATTATGTCAGTATTTCTGTGCTCAAAGCGGTACTTTTTTTGCATGGAAATATGTATTTTTTTTATTGTAGGCCTGTAATTTTTAGGAATAACTCACTGAAATCTGTCCGAACAAGAGTCTAGTAAACATCCCGGGTAGGATAAAACTTGAAACATGAAATCATAAATTATAATATAATAAATAATCATAAAAAATAATAATATAATAATAATAAATTTAATTCAATAATATAATCAAACCAAAAACACTGAAATTTGAAATAGAGCGCCAAGTTCGCACATCGCTGAGCAAAGTCGCAAAATTGTTTTCAGTGTCTGATGACGAATTTCCCCACGTATCATTATCACTCAATTCTGCAAGTGGTTCTAATTTACTATCGCTGTTCTCTAGCTGGACTAAAACCGATTTTGACCTAAAGGGACGCTTTTTGGACGCCATGGACGTTTCTCAGTTTCCAGGCAGAAAGAACAGTAAAAATGCAGGCAGGGCACAGGACAAAGCACTCGGGACAAAATGTATGTGAAATGGTTTTATACAGGAATGTTTTACTATGTGATTTTAGTGTATTTAGTGAATGTCACTTTTTGTCATTTTCAAACTTCCCGCTGTTCCTTCCCCCTGTACGTCCCGATGCTCGCAGGGGACGGAACCCAGATGACAGATGCCGGCATCAGCCGAGGACATTACAGGGGACAATGCAGGAGGGACATCGCTGGAGCGCAGGACAAGGTAAGAGAAGAACAGATCCCGGAGCAATGCTGCAGGGTATTCCTGAGTGTAGCTCGGGGTTACCGCTTGTGGTGCTGAAACTTTACCCCGAGCTACACTCGGGAATACCGCCAGGGAGGTTAAATTGATGTGAGCAGCAGTTGCCATATTTGCTTTGTTGTATAATAATTAATAAAATTCATAAAATAAAGGGCAGGTTGATAAAACTGGAGAGGTGTTGGCCCTGTCCCTAGCAACTCATCAGGAATTTTCTGTTATTTTAAAGTATTTTTAAGATTTAAAAAAAAAATGACAGTTGGAATCAGGTTGGTTGCTGCAGTCAAAACTGGCAACTGTCTTTGCTCCCATTTTATAGGTCCGTCCTGGTTTGTGTATATGATGGAATTATTAAAAGTAGTCTTAAAGCGGTTCTAGAAAAAAAAAAAAAAAAAGCAGCTACAAATACTGCACAACTTCCGGTGGAATCATCTAGGTCGGGTGTCTGCAACCCGCGGCTCCAGAGCCGCATGCGGCTCTTTTTCACCTTGGCTGCGGCTCCGGAGCACACTGCCCACCAGGTGACAGGCAATAGGGCAGCAATGGGCAAACTACGGCCCGGCGGACCTTTTAATCCGGCCCGCGGAGCTAGGCTCCTCTCACAGTCCGCCCTGAAGACCGGTGTAGCATGAAAATCTGTCTCCTATGAGGATCTGTCCCCCTCTACGTATCTGCGCATGTGCCGGAGATCGCCGATCGGCTGCTAATGCCTGAAACTGGCACATGCGCAGATACGTCGAGGGGGACAGATCCTCATAGGAGACAGATTTCCATGCTACACCGGAATGGCGCTGGAACGCGCGGAGCAAAGGTAAGTGAATTGACACAGGGGGGACTTGGGGACTTAATATGGGGGATGAATTAATATCGGGGATGAATTACTATAGGGGGGATGAATTACTATATGGGGGATGAATTACTATATGGGGGATGAATTACTATATGGGGGATGTATTTTCAGTTTTAAAAATGTGGCTCTCAAAATAAATTTCAATCGTGGTTTTGGCGAGATTTGGCTCAGTTGAAAAAAAAAGGTTGCCCGCCACTGACCTAAGGCTATGATTGTGATTATGACGATACACTGTGGCCCTGATTAACCCTTTGCTTACTGGGCCCTTAAACCCCCTTCATGACCAGAGCGCTTTTTGCAATATATGCAGTGTCGGATTTGTTTTAAATGTTGCAATGGTTTTGCGGCTCCCAGTCTTTTTTTCCCTCTCGGAAACGGGTCCAAGTGGCTCTTTATGTCTTAAAGGTTGCAGACCCCTGATCTAGGTGAAAAAACTAGGTACCCTCTTCCCCCAATAAAAAAAACTCCAATAATGTTAGAGCCTCATTATTATATATATTATTATAGGATGAAATTCCTTATGAGTGGAACTTCCTGGCGTTTAGGGTGGAGTTCCACTTTAATGCCTTACATGCTTTTTAACCACTTCAAGTCCGGACACTTTCACCCCCTTCCTGTCCAGGCCAATTTTCAGCTTTCAGCGCTGTCACACTTTGAATGACAATTGCGCTGTCATGCAACACTGTACCCATATGAATTTTTTAGCATTTTTTTGAGACAGATAAACTTTATTTTGGTGGTATTTATTCACCACTGGGATTTTTATTTTTTTGTTATATAAATGAAAAAGTCCAAAAATTTGAAAAAAAAAGTGTTTTTTTAATAAAATTTTGCAAATAAATAATCTTTCTTCATAAATCTTGGCCAAAATTTATTCAGTTATCTTTTTACTAAAAACAGAAATAACCCAAATTAGTTTATAACCAAAAATTATAATTTTTCTAATTTTTTTTTTACATTTTCATTTTTTTTTTTTTATTATTATTTATGTTTTTTTTTTTTTTTTTTTTACATACTGTCGCCCTAGCAGAAAAGTGTCAGTCACCATAGTGACACTGTACTACTTGTGGGGGGTGATGAAGATTTTTTTTTTTTTGTACACGGATTGCTTTTACACCCATAAAGGCTGTAAAAGCAATAAGGTCTCCTTCTCTCTGGCTGCATTCTTGCAGCCATTGAGAAATACTGTGAGAGCTGTGATTGGTCACAGCTTGTCACATGGTACAAGGCTGTTGTGAATAGCCTTGTACCATGTGACCTCTGTGATCATTCACAGATTTCACTAGTAGTAAGCAATGATGTCAGAAGTGACATCTTGTTTATTACTGCTCATGTGATCACTCATTGGCCAATCAGTGATCACATGATCAGGACCTCACACAGAGGTTCCATACAGCGATCAGTGTCCTCCAGACCCAGCGGGCACCGGATCGCGCGCCGCACGCTCCCAGGGAGCACACCCAGGCTGTAAATGTGGGCGCCGTTTATGAACGGGAACCCACTCCTGCACTGCTCCCATCCAGCCATTTATGTACATGGGTCGGACGGGAAGTAGTTAAGGATCAGTTGCATGTTGAAGAAAAAAAAAAAAAACAAAGAATTACAATCTGATATACGTCTTCTTAGTGCAGCCTCAGGCTTGCTTTTTGCCACTTCCTTGACCTTCAAATCAGGGAGTGCACTGTGTACTCCTGGGATGGGGGGGTTACTGGACTGGGCCCCACACTCAGATATAACCACTGCATCTGTTGCTCTACAACTGCAATTTTGGAAGTAATGTCCCAAAGTGCTAATGTACAACCACCCGAAGAATACTAGTTGCCTGGCACTGCCCTGTCACAAGCATAACAATAAAAGTATACTGAAGCCCAAACTTTTTTTTTAATTTTGGATAGAGTAGGGGAGAGTGAAACCCACTTGTTTCCATCAGTGAATTGCTCTCAATGGAAGATTTCACTTCAGTTTCTATTCTGTGGCAACTTACATTTTCAATTTATCCCAGTGGCGTAACTAGAACCTTCAGGGCCCCTGTACAAGAAACCATGAAGGGTCCCCCTGACCCCTGGCGGAGGCCCTTCCCTCCAAGCCCTGTGGTGGAACACCAGGATCGGGCGCAAGTGCGACCTTTGTGACCCTTGTAATTCCACCACTGATGTAAGTAGTTTTACTTTTTTATTTTACTTTTTTTTTTAAATGTATATTATTTATAATTTTGTAAAATAATTTCTTACAATTTTTTCTGAAGCCCAGTTGGGGGGGGGGCTTTGGTGAGATATCAGGGGTCTAAACAGACCTCTGATGTTTCACTTTGAGAACGAGAAAGGAAATTGAGGGCACAGCCCTCTGCAGCCTTAGCAGCACAGATTGGATGGACAGAAATACAGTGCCTTGAAAGAATATTCATACCCCTTGAAATTTTCAGCGTTTTGTCATGTTGCAGCCAAAAATGTAAATGTATTCTATTGGGATTTTATGTGATAGAACAACACAAAGTGGCTCATAATTGTGAAGTGGAAGGAAAATGAGAAATGGTTTTCAACATTTTTTTTTTTACAAATAAATATCTGAAAAGTGTGGCGTGCATTTGTATTCAGCCCCCCTTTACTCTGATATCCCAAACGATTTATCATTTTCCTTCCACTTCACAATTATGAGCCACTTTGTGTTGGTCTATCACATAAAATCCCTATAAAATACATTTACGTTTTTGGTTGTAACATGACAAAATGTGGAAAATTTCAAGGGGTATGAATACTTTCTCAAGGCACTGTAGCTCTGGGCTGATAAATGACATAAAGAAGCTGGATAGGAGGAGTGGCAGGGGCTGCTGCATATAGAGGAATTGATCTCTCCATGTTCCTCCTGCAGCAGCTGAATGCCGCTTCTCCTTTCCCTCCTGCAGGCATTCAGCAGCTGCAGGAGGAACATGGAGAGATCTTCTATATGCAGCAGCCCCTGCCACTCCTCCTATCAGGCGTACGGGGTGTGCACAGGTCCTGCAGGATGGAGCCAGGTTGCAATCGCAGCCCCTGCAGGTATGCCCCTGATTTACCCTGGCGTTCCCAGGAACATTGGGGATCAGGACAAATAGAAAAGGTGAATCTCCCTAGCAGTGACACAGACAGCCATAATAGCCTGATAATGGTTCTAACTCCTCACCACTCTCAAAAAAAAAAAAATTGCTTTTGTTATACTTGGTGTCAGAACTTCCCGTTTGCGTACTTGTTCCAGATTAGTAAATAGGAAAATACCAAAGGCAATGGATCAGCATGAAAGGCACTACTGCAGTTGACCAATCCCCTCCCCCACCATTGTGACAGCAGATTTTCTCCCCACACCCACTGTCACAATTTGAAAAGAGCGCAGCTGTGCAGGGCTCCACCAACATGTCGGTGTCCTTCATTCATAGAGTTATTATTATACAGGATTTATATATTATTATTATACAGGATTTATATATTATTATTATTATACAGGATTTATATATTATTATTATACAGGATTTATATATTATTATTATACAGGATTTATATAGCGTCAACAGTTTGCTCAACGCTTTACAATATAACGGGAGACAATACAGCAACAATACAGATCAATACAAGAGGGATAGGAGGGCCCTGATCCTGGGAGCTTACAATCTAAGCATTCTGTGAATGAATGCCTACACCAGTGTTTCTCAACTCCAGTCCTCATGGACCCCCAACAGGTCATGTTTTCAGGATTTCCCTCAGATGAAACAGCTGTGGTAATTACTAAGGCAGTGAAACTGATCAAATCACCTGTGCAAAATAATGGAAATCCTGAAAACATGACCTGTTGGGGGTCCATGAGGACTGGAGTTGAGAAACACTGGCCTACACGTACCGCTAGCCTTTGCAGCTGACAGCTTGTACTTCTCAATGAATTACCAGGGCGCTGGTGAGCAGTGTAGTAGTCCATCAATTCTTCATGCGGGCAGATAACTACCTGCCTATGCGAGGTAAGAGCAGAGAGATTACACAGATAGGGTGCAGGTGCCTGAGATTGCACCTGCAGGTGCAATACTTTAAAAAAAGGAAAAAAAAAAAAAAGAAAAAAACAAAACAAAAATTGTTTTTTAAAGCGCACTATTTATTTATTTTTTAAATTTATTTTATAAAGGTGAACTTAGCCTTCAACCTCTCAGTACAGATTTTTCTTTAAGATACATGCAATGCAAGCAATACCGACTTGGAAGCACATTTGATAAATA